GGTCCAAATTAAAAAAAAAAAAAGAAAAAAAAAAAAAAAACAATACGTCCCGGCGAGCCGAAGCGATTCGCAGGCTGGTGGAGTCAGAGAAGGGGAACGAGCGGGAGTTGTTGAATTGTTGAAATGAGTCCGTGGGCGTTGCAGCCGGGGGGGAGTTTGTAAGCAGCTTGCAAGGCAGCTGGATAGCGACCGACCGCCAGCAAGAGAACTGACCGTCAGCAAGCCATCAATCACGACTTGCTCGCCTCGTTCAGACTCGTGGGCAAACACGTGGCAAACACGTGGCAAACACGTGGCAGACACGTAGCAAACACGTGGCAAAGAGGTGCGGCACTTGCAGCAGCTGCTTCCATCGCTGAGGGTATGAGTGTTGGCCGTCACGTCACTCTTATTTGATCGATTCCCAGCCCCTTTGTTCTGTTTCCCACCCTTCTCCCACTTCTCCATCTTGTGTGGGGGTTGTGTACTTGGGTGCCTACCGTGGCTGTCCGTATGGTATCATCATGATTGTACCAGACCGGAAATGTAGCGTGTATACGTTCACGGTCCATGCCACCCCTCTCGTCACTGCGCGCCGTCTGCAGGAGATTGATCGTCGAGATCGATGGCCGTCGTCATCGTACCCTCCATCTTCTCCTTACCCCTGAGGACGCCACATGTGCGCCACTGCGGTTGCGATCCCGATCGCGATCGCGATCGCGGCGGTGCTGCGGCTGGCGCAGCTCTCGTCAGCGGCTTCCGCCTCTTCCCTCTTGCATTCTTTCCTCCCCGACCCAGACGAGCTTCTCGGATGCTGTCCGTCAGATTCCAGGCTCAATCTCCAGTGCTGGACCCCTCGCGCATCTCTCTGCCTACACCGATCCCGTCGAGGTTCTTCTACCTCCGCGCTCTGATTTCTCCTATCCCCACTTTTGAAAACGCTTTTCCTCGCGAGTTCCCTCCTCCTCCTCCTCCTCCTCCTCCTCCTCCTGCTCCTTCTGGTCCACCTCTGCCGCCTCGCTGCTATGGAGGAAGCACTCAGGTGCGGCAGACAGATCGTAAGCGCGGGCCTCTCCTCTCTCTCTCTCTCTCTCTCTCTCTCTCTCTCTCTCTCTCTCTCTCTCTCTCTCTCTCTCTCTCTCCTCT